AAAGCTTGGACTTTGAGAATATACCCGAGGATAAATCCGCGAAGCCCTACGAGTAGCTACCGGTATGCTCGTCTTTAACTCGTCCTCGTATTTCACGTGAAATTATAACACTCATGAATTTTAATTCAATTTTTTTAAATTTTCTTTAGATGTCAAGAATCATCCTCTTCTGATTCATTGCAAACGAGGAAAGGTACATATACAAGTTGTAAATTTATATCTCAGATCGATATCGTAACTTGTAAATATTTTTTATTTCTATTTTTATTTTAATTTTCAGCACCGAACGGGTTGCCTAGTGGGGTGCTTGAGAAAAACGCAGAGGTGGTGCCTCACTTCTGTGTTCGACGAGTATCAGCGTTTTGCAGCAGCCAAAGCAAGAGTTTCCGATCAGAGGTTTATGGAGTTGTTCGACGTTTCTTCGCTCAAGAATTTGCCCATGTCCTTTTCAATTTCGAAGAGGTATAAACAGTAAAAACCATATATACATATATATATATATATATATATATATATATATATATATATATATATATATATATATATATATATATATATATATTAAAAATTCCCAATATTCAATGAAAATAAGTGTGCCTCATCTGCAGGCCTGAGATTCTTAGATTGTAATCTGTTTAGCAATTTAATAAACAATAAATATATTTTATATGGATTTTATCCTTCAATAAATCAAGAAAATAAATTACAAAAAATCACTCGATCCATTCGATTTAGCACAACCTTGTACCCGCTTTTAAGTTCATATAATTGCGTTACTTGTCGTTCACGTAATGAAATATTTTCCCGTTTCTTGCCGATCAAGTAACCAAATATTACATAGTTTTCTCTAAATTACCTTTGCATGGATGTGACTTAATCTTCATGATCTTTATCTGTTGATGGAACTCTTTCCAAACTCTTGCCTGAGAAATTGCAATAAATATAATATAAAAAAAAAATTATATGAAGAAATGTAAGTGAATATTTTGATATTTTCACTTACAATTATTATTGTCTCCATTATGACTAATTTCTCTACGCCGCCGCGCATTCTTGGTAGCTTGTAATGATCTTCGTGTGAACTCCTCCGCATGATTATAGATACTAAATTTCCACACGCAATAAGATAAAGTTAGGCACGATAAAATTTCCCGCTTACATTTATTTGTAATTTACTCTTGCTAATATATGTGCATATATAAAACCGAAGAAAACTCGAAGAAATAAAAGACTCGAAACCGTACCTAAGACGGTGTCTATTGCAGGCAATGAAAAATGCCACAAAACCATTAAGAATACTTCGAAGGGCTCGAAAAACCTGATAATTTTTTTTTTTAATTAATAAATAATTTGTAAAATGAATGATGAAACCATATATGAAAAATCGGTCTTGGCAGGTATTTTAGAAAGGGATAAAAAAAAAACCCACGTGAGAGAAAAGATCATCCCAAAGAGAACGCCACATCGAAACCTCGTACGTGCTAACTGCCACTGTTGAGTCGACACTTTTTGCCAACTGAAAGATGCTTTTTGCCGATACCCATACATCTCCGCCAAGATCGTATATAAATGCACACAAGAAAGATGTAATGCTACAAAATCCATGGAGCAGCCGAAACGGAGTGTAAAGAACAACCCACAGTACAGGGTATACGAAAGATGTCGCTGCATCAAATACAATCACCAAATACAAAGTTCAGATGTCAGAAAATCGTAAAAACATTACTGCACAAGATCATAGCCATTTATTTCCATAATTGCGGTCCGACACCAAAAAGTTATTGGATTAAGCATAAAGGGGTTTATACTAATAAGAATAGCATATGGCTTTTTTTTTTTTTTAAAGAACTTTGAAAAAACACGAGGGAGAGTCTCAAATGTGAACTCACCAACATTCCAAGCTACGACCACAACATACCAAACCGGGAGAATTAAAATCTCCAAAATGTCCCCAATCGCCGAAAACGAACTCTCCGCTATTCGCAGAAACGCGCTCCAAGCCGGAAAAAAGCAATCCAAGAACTCACTCAAAGGCCTCAAAATGGGCCCCACTGAAAACGAAACGATCGAGACAACCGTTCTTGTCACGCTAAGGAACCACCTCACCGCCTTCTGACAGTTGTGAAGAAACAACATCGTACCCAAATACTTGATCCTCGAAATCATTTCCCAAGCTTCGATCCATTCGAATAGAGGCCCAAATAGATTCGACAGTGTCACCTTAAGAAGAGGTACGTTTTTGTACAAGTCGTAGAATCCGATTAAGACAGTTATAACTGAAATTAGGACATACGAAGCTCTTGCAAGAGGGCACATCCATGGTTTATAAAGACGGGAAAATCCAGGGTAAGACTGTAGGAAAATAACCCAAGATGGTAAGCCAGCTTCGAGTAGAGTGAGTAGCCATAATTTGGACATGATTATTTCCTTTAATTTAAAGGGGAGATCGTGGTCGTTGAATCGGAATAAAATGAGTACGTCTCTGTAGAGAGTGGCTTCGAGCGTTTCTTCAGAGTTGCTCGCGTTGGAAGTCAGCAGAAATTGTTCAACGGCTTCGTTATTACATATGTTTTCTTCGGTGATTATGTCATCGGTGATGATGTCAGCCTCGTGAAGATTTTCTTGAGCGTCGTGGTAAATCTCCCCTGAAACAACCTTAAACTCAGCAATAACCTATAAAAGATTTTTGAAAAAAAATTCAAACAGGAATTAAGACAAGGGTCTTGCATTTTTCATGACAGAACAATTGCATTAAAATACGCCTTCTGTAAATAATCGAAAGTAGCTCTAATATTATTTTTTTTTAAATAATTTGCAACGGGTCGACTGGCTCCTTTGCCTTGAATTATCAACAAGTATATTTAGAGGCTATAAATTTTTCACGGTTCATGTTTTATTTTATACTAGTGATTATTAGCAAGAAAGTGCCCTAAATGGATGCTAGAGTTCGATAAATTAGACGCAATGTAACTCAATGTACACTTTAATCGTACAAAAGAAAATGAATATAGCGTATTCTATTTTATTTTATTTTAAATTAAATGTGATGAAATACCTAATGAGGTGTCCAAATGTTCTTTCAAGAGAATCTGTTCGTTGAATGTCCCTGGATACCACGAAGAGATGCTCCTGGCAGCTTGTGATATACAGTCAAATTCCCACCTTCGCATTATTTTCGCCTCGATAGCAAGTGATGTATCAGTCTAAAAAAATTAAATATAAATAAATAAAAAATCGAGACTTAGCATGTCATGTAATAGATTTCAATGTATGGGCAGTGATCACCTGCAGCTCGTTGAAATAGCTGATACCCCGTACATCACTCCATGCAACCTCAAACACGATAAAACCGTACAAAGTTCTGTGCAATTTGCTGTTTGCAATCAAAGAATTCCTAAGCCTTTTTACGGGCAGCAAAGCCCTGTTTCTTGACAGCATCACAGCGTCGATAAAGTAGAATAGCTTTCTGAACGTGCTCGATTTTCTTGCATCGGTTGAGCACGAAGCCTGTAAATCCGATAGTTCTTCCATTGTTGTTTTCTCCTTTCTGCCTCTAGTGTTTGCAAATGGGGACAACCTGGACTGCACAATTACGACAAAAAGTGTTATTAAAACATCGTTTCTTACGAAGCTTAAATTCGGACAACGATGATAATTGCAGTGCAACAGAAACCTTAGTGACCATCAACTGCCACCAATGCGTAGATCTTGATACGAGATCTTTTAACCATGGTCTGTTGTCGACTAATATGTAGAACTTCCCACTTTCCGATGCTAGAAATAGGCTAAGATGTGAAAGGTACGACTGCAAATCCCTATTAGCAAACAAAAAAAAGAGGAAATTACGCTCAGCACCATGTTCAGATAAACACGGAATATAAACAATTAATACAAACATCAACTTTTTCAGTTTCCATCCTCTGTTGCCAAGAATCAGAAACTCAATCTAAACCTATACTAAAGTTCGACTGGATAAAGGAATTTCAAAGCAATTGAGCGTCATCAGCCGTAACTTTTTTCGCCTATGTAGAAACTGGTGGATGTTATGCAGTCTTCACTAACAATTTAATTCAATCAATCAATTGAATCGGCTAGTTAATTTAAAGGGTAAATCACGGCCACCCCCCTAAGGTAAGGTTAAATTACAAAAAAAATAAATAGAAAACCCCTTATGTTTGGGTAATTACAACCACCACCCTCAACTATGAATCTTCTTACATGTCCACCTTGATGGTGTCAAATTCAACATAATCTTCCAGATTCCGTGGAATGTTCTTTAGTTTGGGCTCGTTTTCTGCAAAAATGCAATTTCTGATGCACCACATTATGATATTTACAGGCCAAGAGAAACATTTTATGATCATCTTGTTTCAAAATGTGGAGCTCGAATGGGGTAAAACGGGTACAAATTGAAGAATATCCACATAATCTAAAAGATTCCACTAAATTTAACACCGCTAGGATGAACGTGTAAGAAGATTCATAGTTGAGGAGTGGTTGTAATTACTCAAACATGAGGGATTTTTTCGTAATTCAACATTACCTCAGAGGTGGCAGTAATTTACCCTAATTTAAATTGTAACTTTGCTAAAGTTAATAAAATATGCATATGAACAATTACAAAAAAAAAATGCAAATGGCAAAACTTGAATTTACCCAATCTGCAAACTTGTCAAAGGAAACACGCAGCGTCCACCGCCTTCGTCCTTCGCCATCACAGGCGAAAAGACCCTTTTGTCCTCGCTCCTCTCTCAAATTTTCAGCAACCACCACTGCTCCACAAAATTCAGAGAAAAAAGGGGAAAATATCAATAAAAATTGGGGGGAAAGTTTCAATCGTCGCAAAATCAGAAAAAAACAATACCTAGAAAAACGAACGGTGATGGAAATCGATCAAATAAATTCCATTGTTGCTCCTGAGACGAACAATCAGAAGATGAACATTCCGCACCGACGAACTTCATTGAGAAAAATTGTGGGTTCGGCACGTGTATGTATTCAGGGGATTTCTTTTTTTTAATGGAGAATGTTGAATCAGAGGACTCGGAATCGCAGATTCTTTTATGTCAGCAGAGATAATGAAGCTCCGCCATTGATGTGAATAGACAAAGAAAATATAGGGAGATAGATATAGGTAGTTCTTAAATTAGAGTTTATTGTAGAAAGTGTCCTGTATTATATTAAATTGCTAAGAAGTCCCCAAATTATGTATGTTGTCAATAAACATCCTCTTAAATACTTTTGTGGAAAAATTACAGTTTTCATCCCTGAATTTTGCACTGATTTCACATTTTGTCCCCCATGTTCACAAAAACACATTTGATCCCCCATATTCCCAAAAAACACATTTGGTTCCCCATATTTCAATAATTTAATATTTTTTGTCATTTCCGTCAATCTACCATTAGTTCGTCAGTTAGGGCAGTGATGACCACATGTATCATTGCGTTAATACTAACGGAAAATTGACGGAAATTATTAAAAATGTTGAAATTGTGAAACATGAGGGACTAAATGTGTTTTTTTGTGAACACGGGGAACCGAATGTGAATTCGGTACAAGCTTCAGGGATGAAAATTGTATTTTTTTTTTCCAATACTTTGCTAATAATATTGCATTTGTTAGCTTGAGTTTGGCAGTATTTGTACACATGGGGGAGACTGGGGTATGAGCGGTTCATAATTGAATGTCATGGGCGCTTGTGTGTGCTGAATGCATTACAAAGTTAGGGTTTGTGCTTTTTCTAACATCAATTGATTTTAGGACAACTGGTAGTGTATAAAGTTCTACAAGTAGTATTAGAGCCAAGGTTACGGGTTTGATTGTTGATGTAGAGATTGTTAATCTGTGTTTGACAGCAATTGTCAGCATGAGAGAAATCCAAGTATGAACGGCCCATACTTGAATGTCGTAGGCGCTTGTGTGTTGAATGCACTGATTCGAATCCCGTGTATCTAACAATTTTATGAAAGTACAAATGTATGAATTTTGTTAATAGAAATTGTATTTATTACCAAGGACACGACATGGCAAACGGGCGGGTCCGTAAGAACTGCTGCCCTCCGTCTGGCCGGGTCGGATCCCGGCTTTTTTTT